GCCGGGCATGTCCCAGCTGTCCCCAGCGCCGGCTGCACGGGGCTGTCCACGCTGCTGCCAGGCCTGGGGTCAGGGCGGCGCGGTGGAGGGGGCAGGCTGCACGGAGGTCAGAGGCCTAGGGGGGGAGGCCCAGGGACGGGGGGGGCGGGGGGTTGGAGGCCCAGGGGAGGACTGTCCATTCAGCCGGCTGGCCTGCCGCCTGGGGCTGCACCTTCAGGCCCCGCGGCCCCACTTTCCTGCCCTGACCCTCAGCCTGGCCGCCCGCCGGGGCCACACGCCCCCTGCCCCGAGGCGGAGGACAGACCCCGCCCCCACTCACCCCTCGTTACAGGAGTAATCAACCTTTGCTCCAAACCGGGTGTCGGTGTTCAGTCGCGCCACGCCGTTGCGGGGTTCAGGGGGGGCTCCGCAGGACCTCCCTGTAGGAGGGCAGGGTCCGTGAGGTGGGAACCTGCTGGCCCTGTGGTCAGCTGGAGCCCGGGCCAGCGGGCAGCGGGGTCCAGGCCCCGTCAGCCCCGCGCCCGCGCCCCGCCCGGACTCACGGTGACAGCGACCTTCGGCCCCCGACCAGGCCCGGCTCTGCAGGCAGGTGATGGAGAAGTCGTCCCCCGAGTACCCCGGGCGGCAGCGGTAACTCAGGGCCGTCCCCACCGGGAACGTGGACTCCGGCCCCGTGGCCGTGGGCTCGGCGAAGGGAAGGTCCCGTGGGGCCTCGCAGAAGCCTGCAGGGCCCAGCACGGCGGCAAAGTGAGGGCGCAGGCGGGGCTCAGGGCCCGCGGGTGGGGTGTGCACGGCCCCGCCCCGCAGGCACCGGGCCCCCCCCCCCCCCCGCATCCCGGGGGCCTCATCGCCTGGAGACCCCGCTGCCCTGGACCAGTGCCAGGGGCCAGTCTGCCCGCTGGGGCCAGCCCATACCCCCCCGCCCGCTGCCCACCCTGCCCACCGCCTGCCCTGCCCGCTGCCCACTGCCGTCCTGCCTGCTCCCCCCCTGCCCACTCTCCGCCCAACCCGCCGCCCGCCCTGTCCACTGCACGTCCTGCCGCGTGCCTCTGCGGCGTCCCTCCCGCCTTCCCTGCTGGCCTCATCGGTGCCCCCAGCGGGCGCCGGCCGCGCTGGCCCTGGCCCCGCCCCCAGGAACGAGCCGGCCCAGGAAGGGCCTCATGGGGGACCCGGTCTGCTCAAAGCCGTAATAAAGGCGAAGCCACGGCGAGCGCCCGGGCCTTCATCAGAGAAGGGGGGTGAGAAGGGGTCCCGGCCCGAGCCCAAGCCGGGGGCGGGGTCCCCGCAAGGGAGGCCGCCGAGGCCCGGGCTGCGGTTGCCTGGGTCGCCGCCGGCCACGCGAGGGCGCCCTTTCCCCACGGTGGCCGCCCGGTTGGGGAGATTTTCGTCCTCTCGGACACTGCTGCCCAGGCCAGTCCTGCGGCTCAGCAGGGGACAGAGGGGCAGCCCCCGACCCGTCTGCCTTCTGCGCTCAGGGCGCCCCC